GGGACATGACTACATGTTTCTTTACTCAAAAGGCTTGTGTACAAATGTGTTATTCTCAGTAAAATTCACAGCCTTTGAGTTCATCTTGCTCCTGTCCTATGTAGCTTCTTGACTGCTCTAGTTTAACTTGGAGGGGCTTTTTTAGTAAGTTACGGTATTTCTCTTAACTGCTTCCGATCTGCGACACTCTGCTGATAAAACTCTTAAAAGTTCTCTCTGACATTTAAAACATAACTTAATACTTTGTGTACACTAAAGTAATGGTCATTTTCTTTTTCTTTTGGATTTTTGGTGTGTTGATGTTTCAAATTCTAATACAGACCTGACTACTCTGTGCCTGGGACTTGGCTCAATTTTAGAATAAGGTGATGCAAAACACTAGTATTAATCTTCTGGGGTTTTTTGTTGGGGTTTTTTTGTTTGTTTGTTTTTCCAGTCCTGCTTCTTGCTGGTTTTAAAGGTTTCCATTTTTATAGTTTGGAGATGTTAGTAAAATCCATCTTACAGTTTTCTGGTTTTGATAACAAGATGGATCGGTTCTGGAGGGTCTTATCATATGACCTCTATTGGTGTTTCAAACCTGTGTCTTCAGTTTCAAAGCTTACATTATAAATTTTGCGTTGGGGAACATATTCTTACAAGATTAGCTCAGAAGAATAGACAGAGGACTGCTATGTTTATATGAAAAAAAAAAAACATTGAAGGTATGTCTTTAACTCATTTATAGTCAAATGGGCAATCTTTACCTTATATGATTGATAATATATGATGGGAACTAATAATACTGTTGTCAAACTCTTCAGCATTGAGTCAAATCTGTGGAATTTAAAGCAAAATATACAAATACATCGTTCCATGAAATGATATGCAAAACTTTTTGGTTTAAATTGTGACCTGCAGATGACCTTCAAATTAATAAGACTTCAGTGCTTTATCAGAACAGATGCTAAAAGGGCAAGGTCCTGGGCTCCATATATATATAATTAGTAAGGGAGTCCAGAGTGGATTTAAAATGGATTATGTTAATTCTGATCTTAGAGACAGCAGTCAAAAACCTTCCAGATGAACTAACAGTGTTCTGATAAGCTGATCTGTATAATTTAAATAAAAACCTTTTATACGATTTTGATGCTATTATGGGTTTATTCCCCAGAAGTCTCACCATGTGGCACTTTTGGTCGTTTACTATTTAAAAAAACAAAACCCACACACATAAAACCCCCAGGCCCCTTCTTATCTGCAATATTCCTGTTGCCTTATGTATATTTTATATAAACCAAGTATATAATAAACAAAAGCTCCTAATTTACACTTGAAACCTCTTTATTTGCAGTCTCCTGAAAGCAGTTTTGTTCTGGGATAAAAGAGAAGATTTTTCCCATCCTCCAGCTATGCTGAACTGGTAGCTTAGAAATGTCTTGATTGAGAAAACTCGAAACAATGTGTTTATTTCAGAATGGAACAAGAAGTTGTGACTGAAGTATTAGTAATTTATTATTGCTTGCCCACAGAAGGGGAGCTAGCACCTTGAATTGTATTTCAGTTTGAAAGTGTTTACTCATTATATCTACAAAGTGATCCAGAAGCAAAAGAACTCGAAAGGACACTTTTCCAGGTTTTCTTGAACATTTGAAGGGACTTCGCTCATATTCAGCTTTTCCCTTTCAAAATGATTTGGTAATTTTCCAATACTGATTGTGTAGGACTTTCAGGAAGAAAAAGGAACTGAGGTTTTAATACAAAAAGCTAAAAATGAGCTAAGGATATTACTCTGTATTTGTGGAAAGAAAGGGTTGGAACTAACAGCAAGTTAACTTAGTCTGATTTCAGTTTTTCTACTTTTCCCATTCAAGACCAAGCTAGAAGGCATCAGTTCACCTTATTCTGTTATAATAGGCCAAACTAAATGCATTTTTCCAAAAGCTTCCTGGGCTGAGTGGCTGGTAAGAATACTGTGTGAAGGAAAATTATTGTTACATCTACAATTAATTGCTGTCCTATTCATGTTTAACCTGTTTGCTACACCTTTCTTTAAAATGTTGTTGACATCACAGATTTGTTCATCATGGTGGTTTTGTTTATTGCCTTCTTAGTTTAGCCATCTATCCTAGAATTGGCCCACTTCTATTTTGCTTCATCTTTTCGATAAAGTAAAAATTTTCACAAGCATTCTGCCTTAGGAGCCTGTGTGACATTTGAAATTAGATGGAGAAGGGTATTGACTTCAGGAACAGGCATATAGGAGCCTGACTGAGCTCTGAATCACCTCCTTGTGGTGTTCATCTCTCTACTGATTATAAGAGGAAGCATGGAAAACCGATTTCCCTCAATTAAAATTTCCTTCTTTAAATGTTTCCCTAAATCAGCTGAAAGCATCAAAATTTTACTTATATGCTACAGGCCTGAAGTTGATAAATTGTTTTAGCAAGTAAGTCTTGGCCCCACAACCCCGTAATCTATGAGAGAACTGAGAGTGAATACAGGTGAATAACTGTAGTAATAGATAGAGTTGATGTCTCTGTATTTGGTAGTTTTCTGTTGTCAAAATTATTTAAGTCTGTCTTTTTTTTAATTTATTTTGCAGTTAAATCACTTTTTACGCTTAGTTTTAACTTGAGTATTTCTTTAAACTCATTATCCCTTATGTAAAATTTCACAACATAGTTATGAATGTACTGTACAACATCTGCGTAGTGTATGAAGATGTGAGGAAGTTTTTCTTGGTGTTTTGTTTTTCCCCCTCTCAGGTCGTATCTTCCATATTTCTGTTACAAATAGTTTGCAGGCTAACAGAATACGGAAGAATAGAGAAAATTATGGAGTCTTTGTTGCTTTGGTTTCTTTAAAACCCTCTGACCTTAATGCTTGTTCAAAGTAGGGATATACTGTATTTTGTCAGAAGAGTAAGTAGATTCATGGTTTACAGCAAATATGATATACTGCTGGAAAAAATACTGCTTGAGATAAGTGTATACATGTCTTTTCCAGCTAAGGGTGGTGGAAAGAGAGTGGGTGTGGATGTGTGTATATGTTCACATATACCTAAAGAAGGCCGATACATACAGGCACACTTTTCCAAGAATTTTTTCGTTGTTTGGTGCATACACCACGATGTTGGCTGATTGGCAATTTGTGTTTCAGAAAAAAGAACTTGTAAAAAACCCTAATAAATTCAATCTAGAAGGGAAGATAATTGTTATGATTTTAGTGCCTCCATTCTGCAAAATCCTTCATGTGGTGTTAGGAAGCTATTGATCAGAACAGCTAATACCATAGGAGCCTACTTAAAATTTTTACTTGACTGTCAGTTCATTGTTTTTTTCCAAACTAAAGCATTATATAGGTGACCTTTTGTTTCTCAATTTTTCTAAGAACAGAGTAATTTCATTAGATATATATTGATTGCATGTATGATACTGATATCCTATATTTGATAAACAAAGTATTATATTAAAATTTGGTTTTAATCTCTTTGTAGGTACTATTCTGCTTTAAAAACAATGGAACAGCTAGAAAATCTGTATCTTCCTAGAGTTAGCCAATACCGTTTTTGCCAGATAATGATAGAAAATCTTCCAAAACTGCGTGAAGAAATAAAAGAAATATCCATGTCAGATCTCAAGGATTTCTTAGAGAGCATTCGAAAGCATTCTGACAGAATTGGGGAAACTGCCATGAAGCAGGTAAGCCGACCTGACAGGATGACTTCAGTCCTGTTATCTACTGGAAATATCAATGTCGATAGTCTCATGTTAGCCCAAAAGATTTGTCTAGGGATAACAGTCATCACATAGACCTTTGAGTAAGCATGGAGAGCTGTAAAATGCTTGCTAACATCTTGAGTAGTTTCTTCTCCTGGACATGAAGTTGTCAATTCTAGTGGTGGCTGGCTGACACAGGAGGCAGCAGCATGACACCTCAGTAGCATCAAACTTTTCTTCCAAATTTGTATCTGTGTCCTAGACAAGAAGTAGTTTTCTCACTGGGAAAGGAAGGAGAAGTGCTGTATATATCAAGTTGCAAAAAATTGTGAAATACTTTGAGTAGTCAACTCCTAGGCAGTCTGTAACTCCTAGACAGTCTGTAACTCCGCAGCTACTACACCAAAACAAAGCAGCCCATCTGTCCAGCTGGCAAGGATGAATAAGACTAAAAGATAACTGCTTAGTTCTTTCTAAAGTACTATTAATACAGGGCATGCCATTGGCATATTACCCTCCAGATAGGGCACACTACGGAGGAGAGAGGGTAGAAGACTGAGGTGAAAGCCAGGATGAGATTGGGACAGCTGGAGCCTTTGCCTGTTCTATCACAAAATAACCTGCCACTTCAAAGCACTGGTACTGGGCAAGCAGTTAATGCTTTTAAAATTTATTTGGAGAGCAAGTAAAGTTTTCATTTGACTTTTTGTTGGGCAGAGTTTGGGTTGGGTTGCCATTTTGTCATCTAAGGTTCGTGTAAAATGCAGCATTGATTATTATAAATGAAACTTAATCGCAAGATTATACTGTGCTACCTTGTTGCGTTTCTTTCAATAGTAAGGACAGTATAGTGTGTTTGGCATCTGCAGCTGACTGCTCACTAAGGCTTAAATGAAGACAGCAAACAAATAGCTGGAAACTCTGTCATAACTGTACTTCATTTAAATTTTGATTCTCTGTTTGCAATTTATGATCAGGAAAATTACAGATTGCTTTTAAAATTTTTTCTACCTTTAAAATTGCATTCTGGGGATTAATTATGCAGAAATTAGCTATTGAACTAATTTATCATCCCAAATCAATTAAGGACAAAATCATCGGTGTAGGCTGAGAACATACATCTTGCAGTTATATTGGTGTGTGTTCAGTAACACCGCCTGTTTTTCATGTCATAGCATATACTCATCAGTGATGAAATTTGCATTACATCCCTCTTGATTGGTACTACTTTTAAAACAGGCACAGCAGCAGAAATCCTTTAGTACTGCTCTTCAGAAGCAGAATAATGTAAACTATGGTCGGAATATGCATTTAAGTAGAAACAGAGTTCTGGAGTCCAAGAATGAAGTTACGTTGAAGCGAACGTTTGAAGATGATGATGAACATGAAGAAGAGGTAACTTTACACTAATCAGTACGTCTTATTTAAAGTGATTTTTTTAGGTTTATTGAACAAAACTTGCAGTACGCTGTCTGTAGGTGGTCAACGTTAGTTAGGGAGGATGAGGGACATCAATCCAGATCATTTTAGGGGGAGAAAATAGTGCCAAAATATTAGGTGTATTAATGCTAGCTTTAGCATCATGGTTGGGGACATTCAAACTTGTAATTATTCTGGAATTCAGTTGCAATTTACATTATACAGTACCTGCCCACTGTAAATGATATGTGTCACACTGGAACACTCAGCTGTTGCTAAAGCCAGCATTTCTGTGTTGAGGACTTCAGCTTGTGTTAGAACTCTTTCAGCTATCAAATACTCAGTATTCATAAATTGAATAAAACAGTGAGTATTTAGACCTTTAAATCTGGTGCTCTGAAAACACAGTGAAAGGAGTCTGGTCTTGTAACACAAATAAAATCTAGTACTGTAATACAAAGGGAGGAGAGTGTCGAGCAATTAATTTATTGTTTTGTGCTAGAACCCATCCATTTCTGCATCCTGAAATACTGGCAAAAAGACTGATGCAGTTACTCTTCAAGTCATTAAAGCAAATTCCTTCTACCACTTTCTGTGAAAACAGTAGTGTTAGTAGCCATAAAACCTGTCAACAGAGTTGGCTTTTGCTGGTCCCAGTTTGGTCATGCTTTTGTATTCAACCCCAATGTATTTCTGTATTCATCTGAACTTTAGATTCATCAGTCTACTAACTTCACACTCTACTATACTAATTCTCCCCTAAATCTCCAAATTTTAGGAAACCAGTTGCGCAGTTGTAACATTAAGGGCACTAAAATAGAATTTAAAAGGAAGGGATAATTCCTTACCAGTAAGATGTCTTAGGAAGTATTTATTAAGCGGACAAGTTCTGCTGGTAATGTATCACATTTTGCGGATTATATAGTTTTTATGCTTTATATACTTTTCTTTTTCCTTTCCTTCTTCAGGTTTTAACTGCTCAAGATCTTGTAGACTTTTCTCCAGTCTATAGGTGTTTGCACATCTACTCAGTTTTGGTATGTATTAAGGTGACTTCAAAAAGATATTTTACTTTCTGAAGTTGAATGTTCATTTTTGTGTTTTTCATACTCTAATAGTTCCCAAGCAAAAATACTGCTTCTAGTAGTAGTAGTTCTTGTTGAACCAGTGAGATGGGTAGAGTGTGGATACTCAGGGCACAACTGCGTGTTTTATTTTATGTGCACAATAAGACATTAATTACACAGCAAGACATTAATTACATAAGTGCTCTTAAGAATATATGTAAAATATGCATGTCTGCCTTAATAGTGGTATTGGCACTTTTGCAGTTTCCCGAAGTGTTCCGTGTTACCCAAATGTTTGGGGGGATATGATCATTATTGCAAACATAGAAATGTTCAGTCTGAACCTTGTGGAAATCAGAATAGTAGAGCAAAATAGCAAGAGAAAACTGGAGATTGTGACAGACTGTGCCCGGGCAGATTAGATTGGATTCAATGGCAGAGACACAGTAGCCCGTTTTAGCTGCTGTAAAAGAGAGACAATGCACAAACTAACAAGGACAAAAATTTTTTTGTGGAAACTTGTTAACAAATTATTTATTATTTTTTCACCTTTCCTATGTCTCAGTTACTTTTGAAGTCAGATTACTTATAGAAAAGTATCAGGGGCATATAGATGAAGTACTTTTGAATATTGCTAATCCTACAAACTCAGCTGAACCTGGGTTCAAGCATTCAGGCTGGGTTATCTTCTTTCTGTGGAGTCCTTGCAGCTGTGTAACATGAAAACTTATATCTTGAAATAATGTTTAAAGTGTTACTTCACTGTTACTTTTTTTTTTTTAAAGAAGGAATCCAAACAAAAGCATCAGTAATTATGTCAGTAGTTATTCATCTCAGTGAAAAGAACAGGAGGGACAGAAAGACAGGCTGCCAGAACTATTAAAAAAGAGTGGACCATTTCTTTTTGCAGAGGAAATAAGTCTGAAATAACATATAAAAGAGAATGTGTAAAGTTAAATACACCAGTTGACAACATCTGCTTATTCTTCCTTTAGTATAATGAAAAAACAGGAAGTAAAATTGGTAGATGACATTTAAAAGTAATATGTGATTATGTCTTTCACTTTGACAAGGATCCTGATGTTGGATCCTTGATCCAAGGATACGCTCTTTGGGTTTGCACAGAAAGTTTGCCAGCTTCCAAATTTACTGGAGACAGAAAACAACTTGGAGGGCTCTCTGATATCAAAGGCCCTTAGCCCCTTAGAAAAAACGGTTGTTGATGTCTTCAGAATAGGGCTTCTGTCTTTCCTGCCAACATCATCTAATTAATAAACCATGGTAGCATTATCAAGAATTGTGCATTAATCACTTCTTGGAGTCCTTCTCGTTTACCTCCTGTTGTAAACCATCTCTTTTGGAGTTTAGATAACTTCATGATGACAGCAAAGGAGGAGACTTGATACCAGGTGCCTATTCATTACATTTCTATATCAAGGACTTAACCTCACAGCAAATATCACCTTAGTGAATTCTCTCTCTGCTACAAAGCTGTAAAAAAAATGCTATTTTTTTGCAGAACAAACGTTTTCTACTCTGCTTCTTCATAATGAAGAAGAAAGCAAGATTTTATATACCTCAGAATACTACATAGCTTGTGATTGCAACCTGGTGATTGCAAGATACACACGTACCAAACATAGGCTGTATTTATTGACGAGTAACCTTCCTTTAGACTAGAAACTTCTGGACAATATATACAAAGAGCTTTTTTTAGCCCATATATTATCTGAGATGCTGTATATTTAAATTCTGCTGAAAACACCCTTGATCCCTTTGGCACGTAATGTTACATTTTAACTAAGTGCTATATAGTAATATAAAATAAATGTAACTATGGTGTAAAACAACTCTTGATATATGAGCAATATTCCTAGAATTTATAACCCAATGTGAACTGATTTATTATTTCTGTTGATGTAAACTCGTGAACTTTTGGAAGCTGGGCAAAACAAATGCATTGCTTCGGTATATTTTATCTTGCCTTTCCTTTGCTTATTCAGTGAGTGAATCATCAAGGTTGTTGCTGTATTCTGCTGATTGCTTTAGAACATCTGTTTAAAATAGTTGTTATGCCTGAATTGCTGATCTTGATTGCATAGGATAGCATGGTCTATAAATAATCATGAGATATTTTACATCTCCATTTTTGATGTGGATTTGAGAAGAACAGATACTCTTTTTCACTTGAGAAACTTGTGTCAAGACTGAGTAGGGGTCTGGCATTGGAAGTAGAATTCAATAATGGCTTTGTGCATCTGAAAAATGCATTGAATATTTGGGCTGGAGGTGAATGGTTAGTATGTCTAATCAGTATGTGTTAGTACAAATTATAGCACACTGCATAAAGTTCTGCTGCAACAGAAAGTGCTCTAGTAAATTTGCATCTCAGTTTCAAGTGGGTTTTTGTTTTTAAGCCAAGACTCTTTTTTACTTTTACATTTTGTTAGGTTAGCAGTATTTCTAAACATGATGAAATACTCATTATGAACTTAAAATACTAAATTTAAACTTTCTTTATTACATCTTATAAAGGAGTTAGGTAAGTAATGCTGACCTAGTAATATACAATCTCTGTAATAACTTGATTTGAAGATTTTTGGAAGCCCAAGTAATGGAATTCTAAATAGCACTGGTCTAATAATAGGCTCACGAAGTAAAAACAAACCTTAAAAATGCTAAGCTGCTTTATTCTGCTTGCATACAAATTACATTGCGTTCAGTAGGTAGATGAGTCAATGTAGCACTGATTTCAAATGGACAGATGGTTTCTACTGAATGGTCATCTTAATGAGATGGGTAGGATGTCACTTGAATTCCTCACAATATAATTATTAAGCACAGAGGGTATTGTATCTTTGAAGGCTGTGATAGGAAAAAAATCCAAATCCACAGTCATTATGTTTATCAATTCCAAAGAGAATAAGCAAGTATTAAATAAATCTCATGTGTTTTTTTTCTCAGGCAAAACTAATGCAGGCAGTGTTCAGATGTATCACATATTCACAGAAACATTTTTGTAACTTAACTTTACAATGCAGTTAGTTTCTTGAATAACCTAGAGAAACATTTTAGGAGACAATGAGTTTCAGTTATACAGTAATAGATAATATGCCTTGTCTATAAATATTAATATACTCTGAAAGCTGTAGTTTAAAAACATAAATATTGCTTGAAATGCATAATATTGTTTGACAAAATGTAGGCACATGAGCAAAATTTTTATTTACAGTACATTCTGTAGGCTACTTTAAAAAAGAAAAAAAGATAATTGCTGCATATTTCATGCATGCAAAACTTTCATGGTGTTAGCTGGAGGTCTACGTGTGGAATAAATGCAAAATATGTGGCTTAGTTTAAGAGAATTCTACCCTTAATTTAAGAATTGTCTTTTTCATACTGAGACAATGTTCTTGTTTTAACTACTTTTGTTTTGTTTTAGGGTGATGGAGAAATATTTGAAAATTACTACAGAAAACAAAGAAGGAAACAAGCAAGATTAGTTCTGCAGCCGCAGTCAAGCATGGTAACCAATACTTTTGTTTTTGCATTGACTTGGGTTGTACCTAATACTTACTGGTATTTTTATTCCTAAACTTGTTTTCTTTTTCACTGAAAGCATGAAACAGTAGAAGGCTATAGAAGATACTTCAGTCAAATTGTAGGGTAAGTTTTCTAAACGGAGATTTATTTCAGTTTTACTATATTGATTCTTAATTCACCCTCTGTTCTCCCATTGTCCAAAAACTTTCTTCTGCAAGATTCAGTTTCTGCACAAGTCATGTCTCTGGTTGTTGCTGGATCTGAGTGGGGAAGAGCATCCAGATCCTACCAGTACGGTGCCCCACAAGGACCCTCCAGCAGCCTGGGCTCCAGCTGGTGTGAAACAAACTTTTCACATTTTGACTTCATGCTGGGCAAAGGAGAACACCAAACCTACCAAAGTGTCACTGCTTTAGTTGGGAAGGGTTTGACTATGCTTGTGTGTGAAAGGGTAGAATTTGCTCTAGTATTAAGCAAACAACTTAATCATTTAAGCATTATTTTGTTTCAGTTTCTTTGTAGTAGAAGACCACATTTTACATGTAACCCAAGGATTGGTAACTAGAACATATACCGATGAACTCTGGAACATGGCCCTTTCCAAGATCATTGCTGTTCTTAGAACACATTCAGTAAGTGCGAAGTCTTATCAGTATTGCAGTTTAAATCCTCTTACTTCAGGCTCTGTATATTTAAAGCTGGGATAGTAACAAAGTGAAAAATTACACCTCTCATGTTTTCTTTTCCTTGTGATTAAAAATTGCTCAGATTTGGGAGGGAGCCTGCCAAGCTTTTGTTTCTCCCAACAGTATCAGCCTGTGATCCGCAGCCATGGGCTATTTGCATAATCCTCCACTGATTTACAACTCACTGGGTCTTCCAAACCTTCTCTTAGTCCCGCAGTTTAGAATATGCAGAGTTAATCTGCTGTTATTATTGCAATCCTTCCTCATTAGTCTCAACTGACCTCTTCATTAGATCAGATTGAATAGTTTAGCACTGAAAGCACCACCAGGAAATAGTTCCTAATTATCATTCCAAATGCTGTGTTTCCAAAATAAACTCCACCAGCAAAACCCTTGGAGCTATCTCTTCAGTGCTATAGTAGTAATATGTTTATGTTGAAGTAAAGGTATTAGAACAATGTTCACAGATGTTAGAATGTAATTCTGTATCAACTGAGTACTTCAGTACATTCAAAGTGTGTCTCTTAAAGTTAGATTTCTACCGTAGCTCCAATGATGGTGAATAGCTGCATGCAATTTCTTATTCCTCTGTGAAAATCAGTGGAATACCATTGTTCACTCAGACTGACTGATAGTAAATTGCTTCAGAATTTACTATTGGTACAACTTTTACTATCAGAAAAAATAGAAGAGTTTTATCTTTCCCTTTCTAATGTTTGCTAGAAGCAGTTCCTTTATGCAATGTTATTTTTATTTTTATTACGATTGATCTTTAATTTGAGGAATATTTTACGTTTCATATATACTGAGGAAAAATGGGGAAAAAGTGCAGATCACAACTATAGTTTTATCATAGGCCCTTTACTGATCAGTGGTACATGAGATGTTCTCATACCGTTTGATTCATTTTAGAGGATTGGGATTAATTGAGTTATATTCAGCATTTTTTTTAAGCTAAATACTTTGCAAGTTAATTGACTGCGTATGGATTCATACACATATGTAAGAATATGGTAATTTAAAGAATAAAAGTAATGTAATCTCTGAAGAACTCTTCAATGTCTTGTCATGTAGTTGATCACTATTTCTTCTCAAAATGCGTAACTCCCATCAAAACCAATTCTATCACAATCTCTTTCTAACATAACCTAGTACAGACTAATGTTTAGATAAGCGTATGTTGTCTTATGAGGTATTGTAAACCAAACCCTTACTTTATTAAAGTAAGCTAAGAGCAAAAATTAAAGAAAGATGAAACAGGCGTATATAGTTTCTAACAATACTATATTATCATGCTGCTTTAAATTATTTTAATGTAAATATTTTTTTACTTTATCCAGTATTGCAAGTAGTGAAGCTGAGGTGAAAGCCTTAGTTGTATGATTCCACACCTCTGAAAATCAAATTTCAGTCATTTAGTAGAGTAAATAACTTAATGTCTTGACTTTTTACCATCAAATTTGTAATTTGAATTTATTTATAAACTATTTTACAGCGTTTTCCCCATACAGCTGGGAAACTCTCTGAGATAGCACAGTTAGCACTAGTTAGACCTAGGCTTAGTGTTCAAAAGAACGTTCTGTGGAAACCTCTCTATGTTGATTTAGGAAAACATTTTGATGTGTGCTTATGTTCCACTGAAATAAATGTAATTTGTTGATTTTGAATCTCAGTGCAACGTACTGATATTTATTGAATCTCATACTTTTTCTGAGCTTTTATACTACTGATGGTTCATATAAAAAATTAAATACTTCTTTGTAGCTGGACTAAGTGAAGACAAGTGAGTCTAAGTTGTTTTTTACTAAGGCAGTCAGTCAGGTAAAGGGATAAGGCTGGAGAGTTTAACCTTCTGTGCTAATATTCTTTGAAAACATATGTCCATGTTTTAAATCCTTTTAACAAAACCAGAATTTCTCACTTTCAGTCATACTGCAGTGATCCTGACCTTGTTCTGGAACTGAAGAATCTCATTGTAGTATTTGCTGATACTTTGCAGGTACATATTATATTAGTAATTTAACTGAAATTCCTAGAGTCAAATTTTTCCTTTAGGTGAGAAAATGCAATACTTTGGGTTTTCCTGAATCATATATCCAAATCAAGAACAAAATTACACAATAATATTTTAAAAATACATGTATTTCTTGCCTTGGTTCCTCCTTTTCGGTATTATCAATTTAATGTATTCTGGGATATCCAGCTAGCATCCAGTTATTCATATCTGTGCAAAATTAATATTAGCTTTGTAATTTGTGTATGTTTTTGTCTTTTATAAATGCTTTACTTCTGACCTTTAGGAAGGATAGCATTCCAGTTATCATTAACTCCCTAGCTGAAACACCAAATGAATATCATTGGCAAGTATTCTTGCAATGTTTAACAGACGAATTAAAAAGATTAGTTATATGCATAAATAGCGAGTTAAAATGTTATAGAGAAATGGGACAAACTTCTGCTTGAAAACCGAAAGCATAGGATAAAGCATTAAGTAAGAATTTAATATGTAATCTTCTAATCATAATAGTGTGTTTAAAGTACTATAATTTGTTTTATAGAAGTGGCAAGATTGAATAATAAGTCTCATTTCAGAGTCCTGAAGTGATGTGATGGGAATTGAGTGTGTTAGTTCTTGAATTATCCACCCTTTTCATTTTTATACCTTAGGGCTATGGTTTTCCTGTGAACCGACTATTTGATCTTTTATTTGAGATAAGAGACCAGTACAATGAAACACTACTTAAAAAGTGGTCTGGACTGTTCAGGTTAGTATTTAAAAATAATTGTGCCTTTTCTATTGCATCTACTGTTTTTGTCTTACTTCAAGTTTTTTTAATAGAGTTGTAATTCTTGAAGAGTTGATTAACTCAGTATTGTGAATGAATTTTGGGTTGGATGGGACTAAGATATTCATCACATGTAACTAATATTTAGGAGAAAAGCCATCAAGCACTGCTTCTGTTAATGGAGAGAAGGAAGGTCTCCAAAGGGACATTATTGGAGAAACATGCAGTAGAGAGACACCTAATTTAGGTTGTCTTAATGTTTACGGTTAGCTGATATGCATATCTCCCTGACAGACTACTGACATTGCCAGTATGTCTTCATGTTTTTTTAATGCAGGTTGGTTTCCACCTATTCATTGGAATCATTTGATTGAGTAAATTGTAAACCCAGGAATACGGCAGCCTGGGACTGTACTCCAAAGCCTGTTTGCAGACAGAATGGGATGTCTAAATGTGCAGAAATTGTTTACCATAAAATATGCTACATTTATTTTACAGAAAACCTTAAAATTAAATTGACCACTTAAGGTTCTCAAGCTCTCTAGACTCCTAGTATAGTCATTTGACTAGTAGAAAAGTCCAGAGGGTACTTAACGCTGTGGCCATGTGCGTAGTTGAAGTTCTCTGAATCATCTCTATTGACTATATGTAGCTGTGGTACCTAAGTGAGATACCTTGAATATCTGCTTTAGTGTAGGCGAAGTGTAGGCTACCATAATTAATAAGTATCTCATTATGGTTTACCCTGGAGTAGACTAGCTGATCTGAAGTTCCTTTGCTGTATATGCTTTGAGTCATTCATATTAAAATGCTTTCAGCTATTTTTTCTCTGTGATTAGACACAGTATAAAGAGTTAGCATATACAAGGTATTTTCAAATTCATCTAAAAATAGTTTGGATGTCTGAAATTATGAGGATTGCAACTCATAACTTTTTGAAGCTGCACACCTAAGTGTGGTAGTAAAATTTATATTCATTTACATGTTTTAACATTGGAAAATACTGTAAATAAGTTACATGTCCTAAATTTTTTTTACTTTACTAACTAATTCACCAGGGATATTTTTGAAGCAGACAACTACAGCCCTATTCCTGTAGCAAATGAAGAGGAATACAAAATAGTTATAAGCAAATTTCCTTTTCAAGATCCAGAACTTGATAAGGTAAGGAAAAGTTTTATGTTATTAAAGTTTGCCGAAATCCAATTAAGGACACTTGGGACAGTAACGATTTTTACAATTAAAAAGCAATTAAAATTTTAAAAGCTAGGTAGATTAAGAGGCTAAATCACCTTCTTTGTATATAATTAGTCATAAAAAAATATGAAAATCAAAGCTTTAGTCATTTGCTCTGATGTTTGAGTGAATAATGAAACCCATTGTTTTGTAAACAAATGAATAATACACTTTAATTGATACAGTCTTTATGTAATTATAATACAGTCTGCCTTTAATTAGTTAAATTTTGTTGCAACTCATTGGGTTTAGTAAGTCATAGTATATTATATGCTGTAGTATTGCAAAAATATATGTAAAACAGGATCTGTTAGAGACAGCAACTTTTGTATTTCACTTTCAAAATTAATTACTTGTGTTTGAGCATGTGGGGCAAAATAATTATGAAGAGCCTGTAAATAATTCCGCTGTACTACCATTCCAATAGGATATTCTTTCATAGCTTCAGCCATTCTTTCACTACAAACTTCTTTCACAGAAAGGTGATATATGTTCCACTCTTCAAATATGGTTTTGGTAATACCGAAGAAGAAATAACAGGCCCATGATGGAGTCTGTAGAGGGGAACTAAATCTAAGAACCACATGACAGTGGGAGTAACTAGAGGGAAGCTGCTTTATACATGATCCATCACTACAGATACCTGCAAAAGTAAAAAGATACTCTAATTCTATGATTCAGCAGGGATTTACCAAGCAAATGTAACAGCTGCATGTCATTAATACAGTATTGCAGTGAAGATGAAAAACCAAAGGTGGGTTTTATGCTGATTTTTGAGTAAGACTCCAGAGTGCTTGCTGGATGCTTTCCTTCATCAAATTCATTTACCTGGCCATTATAATACTAAAATAAGAGAAAGAGAATGGAAATCCCTTACAGTGTTGGAAGTATACCACACCCCGGAAACTATTTAGCATGACATATTTTGCTAATAAATTGCAGAGATTTTTAACTTGCACTAAATAATTTTATCTGCTAGCCTCTCTCACTCTCTGATGTATCAGCATGCGTGTATGGGCATTGCTTACGTAGGCATGTGTAGTTACACATATATATGATTAATACAAAGCTTTGGCTCTTACTTCACCAGAAGGGAAATGTATTCTCTGTACCCAACAATTTTCATTTTGGCTTATGACACAGAGAGGGATTTCTATTTCATAGTGAGCAGCACTTTTTGTAGGTATTTTATGGACAGAATCTCACTGATGCTTAGTTTTTGGGCTGGTGAGCTTGAGAGTAAAGCTGGGAATCAGGTTAGATTCTGTTCCCAACTCTATCATTGACCAGCTGCGTGGTGCTGGTAAGTCACTTCACATCTCTCTGTCCCTGTTAATTCATCTGTAAAGTCGGGATAACATTTTTTTTACATATCTCTGAAAAGAGCTTTGAAACCTGTATGTAAAGCATAAGGACATTATTAGAAATAAGGCAGTCTGAGGTTTTTTTTCTTGTGTCATGGCAATTTTTGAAGTAGTTTAGTTTACTTCAACCAAATTTAGCAAAGGGGCAGAAGTCTCAGAGATAACTGAGTTCCTAGAAGTTTTGTCAACTAGGCAGTGGGACAGAGGAGAAAAGAATCATTAGGTATCCTTGTTGAAAGAAAGGCTGCAGTGTTACCTTATGTGTTATTAGATAGCAGGGAGTCCACATAGAGGGGAAACTTTATAAATGCTCCAGCATCGCTTCTGTTGTTTGCTGTTTATAATCTCATCACCTCTCTGTTGTTGCCTCAGGCTATAAGGCGGAGATCCTATTGGGTGGGTTAATTTAATCTACATTTCGATGTTTAAAAAAAAAAAAAAAATTTTTTTACATTTACAAGAAATAGATGTTTAAGTTCAGGCTAGTCGCTGAAGGAGCCTGTGTAGTTGATAGAGGGGAATAGACATCCCAGAGGGCTAATTCCATTTGATCAATCTCTGATGCCTTTTACAGATTAAGGGGAATTTCACCTTTGAAAATGTCTGTTTCGCTCCATTTAGTATAGAAAGAGACGAACGTGAGTGAGTGTCTCATTTTTAACTGTAGGTTAGGGTGAATCACCCTCACATTTTACAGGTAAGTTTATCATAGGAGTTGCTTGCAGCACAGGCAGAATTGTGACCAGAACCTACTAGATATTTAACACAGTAAATCCAATCTAACTGGACAAAACATTCTTGTCTGCACTGTGCTGTTTAGATTGATTATATCCTCTAATCTTACTCCCTTTCTGTATTCAGAAGTGAAACAATCAGCTTGTATCTCTGGTTGTTTTTTTTTTTTTCTTGCTGCCTACTCTAATAAGCAGACAGAAAGTGTTGTGTCCTCCTGTATTGGCCAGACACTGTAGAGGATAAAGAATTGCTTCTCTTAGATTGTTGAATATATGAAGGTTGAGACTCAAGCCCTGCTGACAGAATATTGTAATGATCCAAAATAGTTGTATGTAATAGCACTTGTTTTATCTGTAAAACTTAATTGCTTAAATCAAATGAACGCATATTTGAAGTAAATTTTACTGTTAATAAGATGTTTGCTATCACTGTTGAATGACACGAAAGCCTGGCACTTGCACCACATAATTGTCACACCATCTAATCTTAAATATGCTTAGGAGAATGTCAAGGTAATCTGTTTTGTCTTGGTTTTTTAATACACAAATGTTGAGCTGCTGTTGCTTAATGCTTTTTTTTTTTTTTTAGAGAAATGGAATTCTCCAGGGGTGATACCAATTGTTAATTATTTTTCTCATGCATTAGTCATAGAGTAAACAGAAAATTAATTGTTTTGCAGATTTCAAAAATTATGTATTCAATGCAGAAATATCTATTTGGTATGTGTAGATCTAATTGAATGTATTTCTTTTTGTCCTCCCAAATACAATATCAGCTTTAAAACTGAAGTAAGAAGCATGATTTTATTCTTACAGATTACTAGTATTTCCCACGTGTTAGTCGAAATTGTTGAAATAAATTCAAACTGCTTTGGTTTTGTGAGCCATCGAGAGAAAGTAAATATATGGTAGTAAATATATATGCCTAAACGTACTGAAGATGCTTTGAAAATCCAAGATGTATTGAACATCGAACCTTTTTTTTTTTTGCACTGCTTTCTTTGGCAAAAAAATGTTTGCGTTTTTGAACCTCTCATCCCACTTACATCTACCTTGTTCATTCAGATTAAAAGTGGTTTGAGACCTGTTTTTTAATGTGTGTTTGTAAATTGCTTTCTGCAGAGGGATCTGAAATTACATAAAGTCTCCAAACTTTATTGTAATTTAAATAAGTGATAAAGTTCTATTTTGCTTAAAAACAGAAAAGCTTAAAATAGATTAAAATATTGATAGTGTTAAGTGGCTTTCTAATTGTTGTGTTTAATGCCAACCTCTCCTTAGAATTAGTTTCAAGTGTAAGATAATATTATCTTTTATTTTCACAGCAATCTTTTCCAAAGAAGCTTCCAATGTCTCAGTCAGTGCCTCAGATTTATATCCAGGTTAAGGAATTTATTTATGCAAGCCTTAAGTTTTCAGAGTCACTTCACCGCAGGTAAGCTTAAAGTATCAGGAATGTGACTATAAGGTAACCTATAACTTCCAGGTGGCCTAAAAATATATATTAAATTGAAAATGTATTTTCTTGTGTGCTTGCTAGCTGTGCTTGTTTAATAATTTACATATAATTTACATATATAATTATTTGTATTTAATCTATTATTCCCAATGCTATCGCATGTATTTCATATGTGTATATATATAGTATACAATATGTGTATGTCTGTGTGGGTGAAGGTAGCTTGGCATGGTAAGCGGTCTAAAACCGCTGGGGGTTTTTAAAGTGTTGACTGGTTTGAATAATCTGGAGATTTTATTTATTTAACAAGTCATGTAAGATTTGAAAAATATACTTTGGTACTGACCATTTCAGAAATAATTGTGTAGCATTCCTGATTACTTCGAATGGTCTTTCCCTTCTCAGTGCTTTGGGTTTTCTTAGCAATGATTTCTCCTGCAACAAAACGTGCTGTCTGCATGCTCATTCCCTCTTCCGCCCCACCTTTTTCTGATGGAAAACATCACAATTCTCCCGTTTCCTTTTGTCTTGTGGCTTTCAAAAGCTTAGTTTTAATTACATAAAATAACATTCATAGATCTGAAATCTGGAAGGTATTCGTGGCTGGTCACCCACTTCTGCACTGTTAAAGATGTAAATGACTTGCTTTCACACATTCTTAATTGATGGTGTTTATAATTTACACGTACTAATGAGCGCATGTTGACCTCCTCAGTAACTCATTAAAACCCACAAATTACTCTTTCCGAACTGCTGTGTCAATAAACATGTCCAAAATCTCAAAAAAAAAAAGGTTTTGCCTCAGTGTTGAAATTCAGTTAATGGATAATTTGGTAAGTGAAAGAGGTGTTCTGTGTGTTAGAGCACAGAGGACTTGGAGCAACCAGAAATTAAATGCACATAGGGAATTCTTAACATGAAAAATTAACTTTGCAGGGAAAAAATAAGAATATTATTACTGTCAAAGTATTGTCATGTACAGTATAGTTATGAGAATAAACATTTTTTTTCAGCTCAACAGAAATAGATGATATGCTCAGAAAATCTACAAATTTGCTGCTTACAAGAACTCTAAGTAGTTGCTTACAGAACCTAATTAAAAAACCTCATATAGGTTTAACCGAGGTAAGTTTTAAAACACATACTCAAAACTGTATTTTTTGAGACAATTAGTGCTAAAACTATTCTTGTAAATGTAGATATACAGTGGTATTAAGATTTGTGTAAGAAAAACAAGTAGTGTTTGCTTTAAAATGGAAAATTTAAAGAGGTGAAAGATGAAGTATAAAAAAGTATCAATATCTGTTACTTAAATAATAACAATACAGTGTTGGGTCTCGTTGGAAGTGTATTTACACAGGGATGCCTTTTGAGAGAGATGACAATGAAAGAGTTCTGTCTTCTGTATGGTAAACAGAGATTTGCAAGAAATAAGCCAAAGACTCATACTTCTTTGGTTGCATACAGAGCATGGTTCGTGTGTTCTGCTCCTGTCTAGCAATTAGTAGCACATTGTTGAGTTTCTTTTTCTTCCCATAAACAAAAAAGGCGGGGGGAAAGAAAATCTCTCTCACGTGAACTGTGTAAAGTTTCAGAGTAAACTGATGAAGAAATCTAAAATCTCAAGTTCACTTTTTCTATAGTAATTGCAATTGAAATATTTTAGTAGGTTTTTGCATGTGTTTCTTCATCAGGACTCTTGCTTTAATTTGTTCATTGGACAGGATAAGACAGGATGAGACAGTGAATCACTCTGAACATTCACTGCAGGTACATGCGATGTAAGGAGACAGCAGGTACCTACTGAAACATGCTGAGAAGGACTTAGACTGTTGGTGTTAGAGCAGTGTTATGTCATATTGAATGTTGTTTTTAAACTGCAAGAACCTCTTGTATAGATGAAATCAAGAAGATGATGAGGAAAGAGCTCTATAAATCATATATTGCCATCTTAGTAAGACAAGCCATACAAGAGACGTAGTTTTCTATGTTCTTGAAATTGATACAGGAATATTTTCAAGGATATGAAAATAAATTCACTAGTATTTTTGAGATGTTTCATTATCAAGTCAATGTTTTATGAGAAAAATGTTAAAAAGAGAAAATGTACTTTACCAAGCATTACATTAGTGTTCACTGAAACAGACAGTATGCAGTGAGAATTAAGATATAATGATATTTCAGTTACTATGCATTATGTACGTTGTCTAATTTGTGAACTGAATGTGAATGCAGGTCCTGCTTATAAAAATTTTATCATGTACAAGCAGATTGTTACCATTGTTGGGGGGGGAAGGATTTGACAACCTTGTTTTTGAAATTCCCTAACTTCAGAATGCATCATTCTGCAGACAATGTTGTGATTTTTTTTTTTTTTTTTTTTAAATAGCAGTAATTTTTTTAAAATTATTTTTGTGGTACAAATTAGTGATTTGCTTTTGGCAATGTATTTTCCTTTATTTTCCCTTTTTAAATTCTAAAATATCAATTGGGTTTATTTCACTGAATAGGTGTCTGCAGTCTTCATTTTTAAAATGGCATCATTTGTATGTAAACTGTAGCATTACTCCTTAGTGGTATTTGAAAGCAAACTTGAAAACTAACAGGTAATAGGTGGTAATCTGAAATACTGTAATTAATTTCTAGTAGCATTGTTGTTGGAAGAAGTAACCATTTACAAAATCAAATGTCAATGGGTGATACAAAAAGGATTTTTAGAAAAATTATTTCTCTCTTGTAGCTTGTTCAAATCATCATAAACACAACACACCTGGAACAAGCCTGTAAATACCTTGAGGATTTTATATCTAACATTACAAATATTTCACAAGTGACTGTTCACACTGCAAGACTTTATGGACTTTCTACATTTAAGGTAAGGTATATGTCATCCATTATATGGTTGTGTCTGAAAAGTTACATTAAAATCACTATAAATGAAGCATTTTAAAACAAGAGGGGGTGAGGGCAAAGCTGCACACTTTCTCATTTTTGACTCTAGCACAATTCTGAACTGTTAAGAATTCATTTGTAACACTGAGCAGATAAACACTGGTTTTTATGTTATCGGTATGATCTGAAATACGTCAGTACATGAGAAGCATCAATATTCTCTTTCAGATGCATCTTTTATTAAGTTACGAAATGACAAGCTAAGCTTAACTGCACCAGAAGTTTTCAATAGATTAAGCTCCAGTTTGTGTAACATCTCCCCTTTCTGAATGGAATCGAGCAAAACAGCTAGTTTAATCTAAAATGTTTGTATTATTTATTTGTTTTTATTCTACAATAGAAATATCTTGCGGTATGTTTTTGAATTGTGTAATTTAGTAATATAAAAGCGGTGTTAAGAATGTGCTACAAAGCATAAGTTATTCAATTATCTTTTTAGAATTCATATTTTATTTACATGTCCTTTATATACACAATAATACTTGTTAAAATGATTACTAGGAACTTGATTGTTTCTAATTTATGGCAACTGCTTATCTGCAGTTGCTAATAATACTAAGATGTATTTTCTGTGACATTTTTCGGAAATCGCAGAAGTACTTAAGCTTATATCTCAAAAAATTAAAGTAAAACATAGATGATGCATACTCAGCACAGACAATTGTAATTTCAACAGTTAGCATGGCAACATTTCTAAGCCGAGTATAAAATAATCCTAAATAAAAAATGTTGTAATTTTCCTTCTACATATGGCTTCTCATGTCATTAGTAGGTGAAGTTCTCCTAGTTGTTCTTACATTTGTCTATACAAAAACTCTGAAGGATTTTGAAAAGAGGAAACTAAAGCAAAAATACCGAGTGACTTGTATAGTCACATCTGATGTCCTTGGCAGAGCAAAAACCATACCCTCATCTGTGAAGTCCCTCTTCACAATATTACTCAAAAGACTTTAGTCCTTTTTCAGTTGTAAGGCAGACACATGTTGTTAATGAGAAACCTGATGTAAAAATGAAATTGCTGAAGACAACTTGTACATATAATGTCAGGTAAATCAAGATGACTGAGATTTATCCTTAAGATAAATTAGTCAAAATTCTGATACTTGCTCAGGCTGTTTTTTGTCATAATGACCCTAGTAAGCTCTAAATCAAGACCCAGCAGCTGGACTAGCTATGCTGAGTGCAAAGATGGTTTGGTCTCAGGCCACTAAATGGCCCTACACCAGAAACCCTCCTGCGCTGTGGCGCTGGAGACAGGTGTAGAGATGCTTAGAGATCCTTCATGCTCTGGTGGTGGTTGAGTGCCAGGTACTTCTTTCAAGCACCAGATGGTTGTGTACGTCAAAAAAACAAGTTTTGGTATTCATATACATAAAATAGGGCAGAAATTATTTCGTTGACCGAATCTGCCTGAGTAGCTTTTTTGATTTAGAATAAAAGCAAATGTGTGTGCTTGGGGGGTGGTTTGGGGTTTTCTTTCTGTGGTGGATTGACCCTGGCTGGACGCCAGGTGCCCAGCAAAGCTGCCCTATCACTCCCCTCCTCAGCTGGACAGGGGAGAGAGAAAATACAATGAAAGGCTCGTGGGTCGAGATAATTCACCAATTGCCGTCACAGGCAAAACAGACTCGACTGAGGGAAAATTAATTTAATTTATTACCAATCAAATCAGAGAAGGGTAATGAGAAATAAAACCAAATCTTAAAACACCTTCCCCCACCCCTCCCTTCTTCCTGGGCTTAACTTTACTCCTGATTTTTCTCTACCTCCTCCCCCGCAGTGGCGCAGGGGGACGGGGAATGGCGGTTGCGGTCAGTTCATCACACATTGTTTCTGCTGCTCCTTCCTGCGCAGGGGGAGGACTCCTCACACTCTTCCCCTGCTCCAGTGTGGGGTCCCTCCCACGGGAGACAGTCCTCCATGAACTTCTTCAACATGAGTCCTTCCCACGGGCTACAGTTCTTCACGAACTGCTCCAGCATGGGTCCCCTTCCATGGGGTGCAGTCCTTCAGGAACAGACTGCTCCAGCGTGGG